GGTATAGACTATTTAATAAATAACAAATTACATGCTGTAATGTCTGTCCACCTCAGGCCAAAGGTCCCATACTAAGTGGGCATAACCCTTTGTACCTATTTTTGTATGTTTGTAATGAATAGGCTCAAAAACCACTGAACGTATTTTGATGAAATTTTACAGTACTATTGTTCATAATCCAGAATAACATATAGGCTATAATTATGACGATCTGTGACAAACGAAATTTCGCGCGTGCGAAGCCGCGGGTGGAAAGCTAGTCTGCGATAAAGGTTGTTCATGAAATACAGGTTGTAAAAAACGTAGGTAACTAAATTACCTAACACTATAATAAAAGAAGCTTATAGGTAAGTTTTAGTAAGTAGATTTTCCATGTTATGTTTTCCAAATTATAGATGTTCCTAAAACTAATTTTAGGATTGTATTTATTAACGGCAGTCTATTACGGAAGTGTATAGTTATTAACTGCATGTCTTGTTATATGATACTTATTAATAACGAGTTGTAAAGTTTGTGGGTTAAATAAATTGTATTAATGCAACGATTTCAAATACAATATCCCTTATAAAATCCTTTTTATTTGGTCGCAAGTCTTTTGCGTCCTTTGTTACTTCAGTCTGGTGGATTTAAAATACAAGACTTCATTTCTTAGATGTAGAGTCTCCAAATTAAAATGTAAAACGGGATAAGTTTTTAAAATTTGTTGTATCTAATGCTTAAAGCTCATAATACACACAACCGGTATACAAAGCAACATTAATTAACATCTCGTCTTGCCTCAAGATGAACTTAATGCAACAAACAAACAAACCGAGCAAAGCCTCTCTAATATAAATGTGTTATGGTTCAGTGTGTTTATTTAGAACCAAATGCAAAATGTCTCTTGATACAAGAGGCTTAGATGATGAAGAAAGATGCCACAGTGTTTATCTTGATGTCTGTATATGTCGGTATAAATGCTCACTAAATTAAAGATTGCTCCATCACCATCATCATCATCATCATTTCAGCCACAGGACGTCCACTGCTGAACATAGGCCTCTCACAATGACTTCCACATCGCACGGTTGGTAGCGGCCTGCATCCAGCCCCTTCCTGCTACCTTTATCAGGTCGTCGGTCCACGTCCCACGCTGCGTTGTCCGGTACGCGGCCTCCACTCCAGAACCTTGCTACCCCATCGGCCGTCAGTTCCGCGTACTATGTGCCTTGCCCATTGCCGAAAATTGCTCCATACAAAATTCAAACCTGCAACTCCATTCGAGTAGTCCGGTATGCTAATTACTAGGTCAGTTGAACCGCGAAATCTTCAATTAAAATCCAGTTCTTAGATGCTTATCCGCGAAAATCCCAGTCGCTTGGCTGCCTCAGACCGTCGCCGGACTCAACGCGTTTTAATATTTTCGAAGATGATGCAATTTCGAAATGCATTTTATATTAAACGAATGCAGTACATAAAAGATCTTTATGATACAGCGTTACATGACATGAATATTAAGTAGGTACTACTATTGCATGTGACTTGAAATAAGAATATTCGTCTCAAATTATGCAATCTACAAAGCTAAACAAAAAATTGCGTCGCGGGCACACAGCTTTGGTAAATACAAATACGTTGAGCAAACCTTATAGAGCTTAAAGTTTTAAAGCGAATACTATATTTAATAATATTCAAGGTATTTGCATAAAAGCAAATGCTAGTCTCAAATTCCTCTCTTGTAAAGCCATTGCAAAATTTAAGTTGAAGCTGCTTCCTTTGTGAATATGGGTATAATGGAGAGAATAGAGTACACCGCAGCGCATTTTTGGGGAATATGTGGTTCGGTTAATTGTTTGGTTTCGGTTTATAATATTACAAGCAAGAAAAGTTTAGCAATGAGCTTCATAATTCAGTATTTTGATTCAAAATAAATTTTATCGGGAGTTCACTTTCAATATTTCGAAGCCACTTAATGTTAAAGGAGTCTAATTGCATTATTATTCCTTACACTAACTTACATAAGACATTACATTTTTGCAACCACAACTTTTTTGTAACTAGTGCTGAACCTGTTTGTATTTAATATCTTGTTACGACTTTCTAAGTAAATTTTTGATTTGATTTGATTAATTTTTTTTTTAACTATGTCTACTAATAGTAGGAAAATAAAATATACTTTCAAATAAACTGACCTCTGGCCACCTTGATTGTTCGACCACGCGCAAGGGCAGCGTGGGCGCCTGCTCGATAGACGGATGGCCTAATAAAGACTGGACAAATTGGATTAAGGTCACTATGGATCTCTCTCTTGGGACAAGCTGTTCGGCAGTTCGATAATCATGATAAATTAACTTTCAATACTTACTTCGAAAAAAGTTTTTTTTTTATTGTTAGTCGTTGATTGTTGAGATTGAATTTCGGATTTATGTAGTACGTGATAGTCTTGAATCAAAAGCAAAGGAAAAACATAGAAGCTGTCTAAAAAGTTTCAAATGAAAGTCACGGGAATACTTAATATTGTTTTCATTTTAAGCATTTTCTAAAGATACGAGTAAATATAAAGTTTGCTGTCGCATTTCTACGAGATATTTTAAATTTTCACTAACTTACTTGCACACTTCCACGATGAGGTAGCTAATTTGTTTGGACTTGGGATACGCTTGTGTGACTTTAATTTCACGTAATCAAACCATCTAAAGTTTTTTTTAAATAGCTACACTTCAATAGTCGAATCGATACAAGTTCTTAGATAGTACCTACCTATCTAATAGAAGTACCTTCTATGACTTAATTCGCTATTTAATATTCTACACTTCACTTTGAACAGCGTTCATTGACACGGGCTTTGACTTAGCTCATTAGTCAATTCTGAGAAATTTTACGTCTATAATTATGTAAATCATAATGTCTGGAGAACACATTGATGATTATTTGGAAATCATAACGGCTCAGTCGGCTTCTCCCCATAACGCGTGTACAATTAATAAGCTCAAAGTTTGAAGTTTCGAGGAATTAGAAGTGAAGTTTCGATCAAACAATCCATAATACGAGTATTTCTTGTACCGTTTTAACATTTCTGGAGAAACAGCTCTACCTAGCTACAAATACGATTGTGAGTTTACGAGAACAAAGGACAGTTTCAGATGATTGCATTTCACGTATCAAGATGTAAGGCAGAGGTTCACAACATAATCAAAGAACGTTATAATTTTTAATTTTCCCTATTCCACTAATGTGTCACGATTTCTTAGTATTTTTATTATTATCTTGCCTAGTATGTATTAGAAATGTAATGGATGGACGTAATAGGTTGTAATTATAGTGTTGTGTAATAAAAGTTTTAATTCGTTGCTTTTTTAAATAAATACAATCAAAAAAGTTTAAAAGCTCCAGCGACCATTGATTGGTGTCATTCAATTAAAAATAGGGTATTATTTTGCTATTTTTTTTCAGACCAAATGATATTTAAAAAAGTTATTTATTTATTTTCGTAGCACGTACTTATGTGTAGAAACTGTTGAGAACCGGTGTACATTGGTCAGAGTTTAAATCCTTTGTTGGTAGAGAAGACACGTTGAAATTGCTTTATTTGCCTTCACATATGAGACTTCTGTGTTGAGATTTATTTTCGTGGTCGTATTTCCTATGAGAAAACAAGTCCAATTAGGTTCATGTTATTAACAAAGTGTAAATAAATATTGATGATGAAACATGCGAAGTACTTATAATTATTTACTTACATACCTTACCTTTACCACTTGTTGGGTTTTATTTGCGTTTGCACCTTCTTTTTACACCTTTTTCGTTTCAGCATCGAAAAATAGGCTTTCAGATTTACTTTAGTAGCCGTGACAAATATTTAACTTCGGCTTTCCTAGGATGGTCGATTTATCAAGGAGATGTATCAAAGATTTAGTTCCAACGGGACACAATTTCAAGGGGACAAATTTTCAATCAGACACATTCCCACGTGGACACAGTTGCAAACTGACACAATACAGTCAGTCGAATAAATGAAAGTGAAATGAAAAATATATTGTAACGTTATGGACTACGCAGAGACGTGTCCTAACGTTAATCTTAAATTAGAAATAAAATTAGCATAATAAAATAAAACTACGTAATAAATTAAAAATATACTTAATTTAATAATATAAAACTTAACAATAACTCTTAATACTAATTTACTTAAAACTAAATCTTAATGCTACAAGAGAATTAAATTAACTAATATAATGAACCCTAAATTTAATCTCACACATAATTGGTTTTTTAAGTCTTTATCACACGCATCCCTAAGGTGGGAGTGTCTAACCCGCGCGACGAGCCGATGGGTTCCGACAACAGCCGATCACACGAACTGGCAGTCGCTCGGTTTTCTCCGCGCCAGACCGCAATTTGCTATATACTACGCAACACCTGTGCCTTTCTCCTAAGCGAAACCGTTACGTACGCGCACTCCGCGTCTCGTTTAAATACGTTGCCGCGTTGGAAGTTAAACACTATCTATACTTCTATACTAATATTATAAAGCTGAAGTTGTGGAACATGACGCTCAACTACCATAAGCAGTTAGAGCATTTACTTTACACAATCTTGGTTTGTCTATATATACTGGGCAGGGTAAAAAACTTCGTCACCGCGATGCAGGATTGTATGCGCGGTGGAGTTTGCCATAGTAAGATCGTAACAGCGCCATCTGTTGGTACGGTTTGTAGTGGCGCAATTTATTAATCACAGTTTGTTTATTTGGTTGAACGCGCTAATCTCAGGAACTACTGAACCAATTTGAAAAATNAATGTGATAATTTGGGAAACGTTTTTTGGCCAAACATTAGTAATCCGAATATTTTGCGTGTTTTCGATGTCTACTCGGGGATATATGGATGCGCGTGCGCATGTTTGCGACCAAGTCGGCTGATATACTCAACATTTTAGAAAATTGATATCACTGAATCAGATAAAGAGTTTTCAAAAATTAAATTATAATAAAAATACCTAATTTAAGAAATGTGACTCACCTTTAGAACATTTTAATTTGTACAAAATCTGTAAGGTCCCAGCACTAGCATCCCAAAATTTTACACTACCATCTGCATGCCTGAAAACAAACAATTTAAAAAACTTTATGACAATCAATATTAACAAAATTAAGGCCTGATTTATCAATCATCGAATGACTTATCTGATGAATAAAATTGGCACTTTGACAATTTCAGCGTGGTTTCAGTATGGGGAATATGTCAAAATGTCAATTTTATTCTTTAGTTAAAAGATATCCGTCGATTGAAAAATCAGCCCTAAGTAAGGTATTTGGCGCTCCACAAGTCTAATTCTTTATCAACCTGACACAGGCAGTCTATTGACATGTAAAGCCCGATCCGTGAGCACGTAGAATTTTGTCCAAAGACCCCTAGCTGCCCATCCTTATCTCTCGCGCGTAATTATATTGCTGTCGCGACTGTCCGACTGAAGAGACTGGCACCCGCAGTGAGTGTGCGAGCGCGATAGCAACATAATTACGCGTGAGCGATAAGGATGGGTAGCTTGGGGTCATTGGACAAAATTCTACGTGCTCACGGACCAGACTATAGAAGTGGTAAATGAATTACAGTTAAAGATGTATATCAAAAGCCACTGACCCTGTAAGAATAATTTCGCTATAGGAGCAGGAGGCGGGCGCCCACTCGCCGCCGTTGATGGGCCACAGCTTCTCGCTGAAGCTCGACTTCTTGTTGCCCTGCCGCCCCACCGAGTAGAACGCTGGGATCTGGGAACACGTACAACGCAAGTGACATACGAGCTGAAGTACAAGAGCACGAGGCAAGATCAACAACTTCAGAAAAGAGGGTAATTCTCTATCATACAAGGATGGTGGTTTACCATTTGTACGAGCACGATCGTACATCCTGCTGCAGCACCGTCAGCATCGACCGCCGGGCGACCCATGAACCCTCAGCGTGCACCGTCGGCACTCTACACCGACGGCACACTAGCAAATACGTTTCATTCATCATCATCATCATCATTTCAGCCACAGGACGTCCACTGCTGAACATAGGCCTCCCTCCATACGTTTCATTGTGTACAGTAAATAACTTATGTATAAATAGCAATAGTTAATACCAATAAATCAGATATCAACCGTCCGTCGTTGTGTCTCATTTCCCCCCGCTGCGGCCAAGACACCCTTAGCCGTCGCTATGATCAGTCCGGTGAGTCTGCCGGGCTGGCAGCGGGTCCCCGCCGCCTACCTGCCGTCCTAACGCTGCTGCCCTGGGCGACCTGGGAGCAGCTTCCTTCCTATCAAACCCTTATTATGTTTAAGTATCTATTGTTAGGCAGGGCTAGGGCTCTAGGGACTTAGTGTCTTAGGGAATAGGGACTCTAGGCTCACTAGGGAGTTAGTTCCCTTCCTGACCGCATATCCCGGGCAAGGGAGCGGTGCCTTACAACCACTGCCTCCCGCCCGTACACCATTAAAAATAGTTTTCTGAAATCAGATTCATCAGAAATTCTGAATTCATGTGGGCTGGGTGGCTTGTGTTGTGACAGTTTTGGTGAATACTGTGAGCCCAAATCCACATGCATAAAAAGTCTCTACTGTGGAAAAAATAACTCCTGTAAACTCTGTGGAAGCTCCACTTCTGATGGCCAGATCATTTTTTTTCTTGGCCTGTATCTCACCTGATGGTAAGTGACTATCAGGCCGAAGGTGGAAGCGAGCTTCACCCGGAATACACAATACAATACAATATGGTCGAGTGAAGCGATGGCTGGTTCACACGTCATGTCTGTGAACAGGCGCTGCCTTCGGGGACTGGTCAAGACAAGATATACCTACCTTAAATTTTTTAACATAACAATTAACAATCAACTTAGACAGTTGCACGGCACTAAATATAAGTATATACAATTTATTTAAAACTACCACACGGTTTTGTTATGGTGCCTTGCTTTTCTCTCTAGAGTTTTCTTGCCTTGTCTCCTAAATAGTTTTATATCTGGCACTTAGCCAGAAGGATATCTTAGACTTGTCATGCTCACTAAAATGTCTCTGGGGTAGTGGCGTGTGAGGCGGGTCGTTACATTCCCTATAATATGGTCGAGTGAAGCGATGGCTGGTTCACACGTCATGTCTGTGAACAGGCGCTGCCTTCGGGGACTGGTCAAGGAAAGATATACCTGACATAAAATATATGTATCAAAACGCAACAATTAACCTAGAAATTAGCACGGCACTAAAGAAATATATTCAAAACTGCCACGCGGTCTCGTGCTAGATGGGCGTCTTAAAGGCCACCTTCTATCAACGGGAGCGCGTGGTAAGTAACTTGCTTCTGAATGTATGTAACTTCCTACTTTTTTATATTTTTAAACCGGCAGACAGTGGTGACTGAGTTTGTTGCGGCGCTTCTTCTCAGCACTTGCCAAATGTTTGTCTCGAAGCGCTGGTAGGGCAAAAAAAGAATGAGACATGTATAGGCTCCTTAAGAGCATTTGACGATTTGCAAGAACTAATTTAATTATTCTAAACAAATAAAGATAATTTTGATTTTGATTTTGATTTTGATTTTGAATCCTCAACCACGGAGGAACTGGCTATCTTACCTCTAACTGCCGGAACACAATAGTGCTGTTAACATTGTTGTTATGGCGACAGACTTAGGTAAGATGGTGGTAGCTAGCCAGGCGGACTTAGAACAAGCCTTTAAACCACCAACCAAACCGAACAGAAAAATCTGCCCCCACTGGGAATCGAACCCGGGACCTCTGCGTCTGAAGCAGGTGGTCTTACCACTAGACCACAGAGGCGGTTCATTACTTTCCATTCACTTCACCTAATCTGCATTTCGTGCAGGCCAGGAGTTCCCCGTTGTAGTTAAAAAAGCTTACTAGATCTGAAGGGCAGTCAGCGAAATAGGAACAGCACGTGACCGGCGACTCGTGGATGTCCATGGGATAGGGGTTCTCGAAGCAGGGGTAGCCGGGCGACTGCAGGTCGATCACCACCAGGTCGTTCTGCAGCAGCACCACTATCGCGTACGGCTCCTGGTAGTCTGGAACAGTTGTGGATTTACATTACGTTGGTGTTTCGACAGGTTCGATCAAATAAGGTTAGGAAAGTTACCAGGAAAACAATTCATTGGCCAAAATTTAAGTTTCTGTAGAATTACGAAGAAACCAAAGAAGAAGCAGAATTTACTTCTATGTATTTCTTTGATTCCGATGTTGATCTCATAGGTTGTTTATTAGCAACCGAAAGATGGGTCAGTATCATAGGTTCTCAGAAAGCGGTAGGTAGAGTAACTATATATTTAGTTAGAAAGAAATAGACTCGGTGTATCGATGTCCTGGTATAGCTCGCAGGAAAGCAGTGAGGTCAGGACTAGTTGTCATGGAATTCCATAGGAGAAGCCTGTCCAGCAGTGACGATTAATTCGGCTGAAAAGAAACCCAATAAAGTTCGACAGCTGGCACTAGTAGTGTAGTACCAGTAGTATTTTCTTTTTTTTATGTGACAGGAGGCAAACGAGCAGACGGATCACCTGATGGTAAGTGATTACCGTCGCCCATAGACACCCGCAGACCCAGGGGCGTTACAGGTGCGTTGCCGGCCTTTAAGGTGAAGATACATAGTATGTGGGTTGTGTGTATTGGCGTGGCTTACCTGCCGTGTGCGGCGACTCGCAGAGCGTGACGAAGTCCACGACGCTGTGCTCCATCTCCAACACCGTCGTGCCCTTGCCGTTGAGCACCGTGATGCTGTGCGTGCGTCCTGCTTTGTCCGTGGGCAGCCCGCCCGAGAAGATCACCAGGCTCTCTCTGAAACACCACATATCGGCCGTTGAGCTCTCGTCACAGAATAAAGAGATGAACAAAGTGTTATTTTACACAGACGATAGCATTTCAGACTATCCCAACTACATTTTTGAGAAATCCTATTACAACACAGCAGGGATTTTTTTGGTTTGATCTGCCACTGTGCTTAGTAGACACATCGTTTATTTCCTTTCCATTTACACACATGGAATAAATTAAATCAAGTTCAACATTCTCAAATTGGAATCCTCGAATGATGAAATTAGCTTAACGTAAAATCTGATAACGTCATAGCAAGCAGTAACATTACGAAGATTTTGAATTCCTGAAGCCATTGCCGTCGTCTGTTCGTCGTAACGAGCGAATTAAGCCGCCGGTCCCGCGGGCGCGATCGCATTTGCCCGAACATTCGGACGAATGGCTAAATTAGCCATTTGCGCGGCCGGCGCTCGCTGAGACGATTGTCAATTCATCGGAAATATCTAGATCTATCTTAGTATGCTAAGGAAATTCCGGTGGGATCTCATCTGATTTGTCGAGTGTTTATCTTAAAGTGGACCAATCTAATGAATAAGTTTGTAATAATCAAAACTGTACATTAGTGAGATGTGTCAAGTAGGGATAATAGATAAGGCAAGCAATAAAAATATTGTAAACTCACCCTGTCCTTGAGGTTTTCCATTCCAGTCTGAGTATCGGTTTGCAGGGTTCCAGTTTGCCGTCTTTGTTCGCTTTCGCTGGAAGCAGAAGGCATCAAATTTTACTCCGGGACACGATTCGAATCCCTATTGATGGGAATCTTTTCAAATCTTAGATAATAACAAACGGTTTGTAAATAGGGGGACGTAAGGAGGCTCGAGGAGGGATGAAGGATCTGTTTGATGTAATCGGCCCATTTTTAATCAATCTCAAACGTATGTGATGTAAAAGATGGCAGTGTTTTGGATGAGATCTATTTCTAAGACATTTTTGTGTAAGTTACAAGTAAGTAAATTGGAGTGTAAGTTGTAAGAAAATGAACACACAATATAATTAGGGAAGGCGTCGCAACTGAGGACTGTCAAATATGATTACGCACAAGCATTTACCAAGTAAGGAAAACCAAAGTGACCGACATAGCCCACAGAATTGCTAAAATCAAGTGGCAGTGATCAGGGCACGTAGTACGTAGAGTTGATGGCCGCTGTGGCAGAAAAGTTCTCGAGTGGCGACTACGGGCCGGAAGACGTAGTGTGGGCAGGCCTCCCACTAGCTGGACCGACGGCCTGGTGAAGGATGCAGGCAGCGCAGGACCGGTCGTTATGGAAATCCTTGGGGGAGGCCTTTGTCCAGCAGTGGACGTCATTTGGCTGAAACGAACGAAGCACTTACCATGAGGGTATCCACTGAGGTGGGGCGCGGCGACCGGAGGCCTTTGTCCAGCAGTGGAGGTCATTTGACAAAAAACAAGCACTTCCCATGAGGGTATGACACGGAGGTGGGGCGCGGCGACCGGAGGCCTTTGTCCAGCAGTGGAGGTCATTTGACAAAAAACAAGCACTTACCATGAGGGTATGACACTGAGGTGGGGCGCGGCGACCGGAGGCCTTTGTCCAGCAGTGGAGGTCATTTGACAAAAACGAAGCACTTACCATGAGGGTATGATACTGAGGTGGGGCGCGGCGACCGCGTGGTCCAGGTGGCGAGCGCGCCGTCGCAGTGCGCCGTCATGAACTTGCCGTCGTGCTGCCAGGCGGCGGCGCGCACGCCCTCGCCCGGCGCGCCCGCGCCCAGGCAGCCGCGCCATTCAGCCGCGCGCGCGCGCAGGTCCCACACCACCACCAGCCCCGTCTCGAACGCTATCAGCAGCTGCGCACAACCACCGTCATCGTCAGGTCGCTTAGTGTAGCACGAGCCGTTTCTAAAGGTTCGACCAAACCACGATAGCCGAACGGTGAAGGCCGACTCGTGATCCGGGGAACGCGGGTTCGGTCCACGCCGCCGCTCGACTAAATTGTGGTGAGCTCACTCGTCATACAAGCATATTTAGCTTAGTACGAGGGGCTAACGGGAATATTATATGTATAGTAATTTGTGTAATAATAACAAATTACTAATAATCTTTAAAAAAAACCAACGCGTGCAGCCCGCGTGCGCGATGGCGATGTTGATCAGTAGAAATCTGTAGTATCGCCATCGCTATCGCGCACGCGGGCTGCACGCTTTGGTTTGGTCGAACCTTATGGGGATTTAGTTTTCACTACAGCAGGATGACCCTTCTAATTTACCACGAGGAAAAGGGGGGATTTAGCTTACTCTCTCCGATGGCCTGATGAGTAGGGGAGAATACACACACCCGACAATGAACTAGATATAAGCCTATAAGTATTTAGCTAAGTACGAGTAGATCCAATTGAACGCACCACATGCTAGAATCTACGCTTGACTCTGAGTCGACTTTAGTAATACGAGCCTACGCCTTTACGCGCCGTCATAATCGTCCGAAATGACTCACATTAATAACCCCCAATCACGAAGTAATTTCACTTATCGAGCATAATTGGTTGTAAAATTAAATAAGTAGGATTTCAAAAACATATCGGGGAATATAGGTAACATTACCGATGCACAATTATTAGAATAGCGGGCGGTTAAAAAATTATAAACTAGTTACCTACCGTACGATTTGATTTTAACACAGATTTCAACTTTGCCAAAAATACTTATTATTGTAAACTTCCACGATCACAATGAATTATAACTGGATTTCTATTATAAATTAACTGGATAACACTAACGAACGAACCGAAGTCAATGCGTGGACTGCGTGGCTGTTCTTAGGAGAAAAATCGCTCTACCCTCTTTTTAAAATTTTATTACGTTCAACGCCGGTACCAGGCCTGGCTCACTCCGCGCGGTACATCCGATAATTACCTACAGCGAAGCGCCCCGCCGGCGGGTATTATATCAGTCGAGTGTCACGCGCGCGCCCGTCAGGACGCTGGCGTGCGTTGTAGTACCTAATTCTATGCTCGAAGTATTATTATAAAATGGACATAAAGAGAAAGAAATATTATTGTGCGGCGTTCGGGTGTTTAAATTCGAAAAGAAATCTACCGGATTTATCTCTTTTTTCGCTTCCCAAAGATGCTGAAAGGTATGTTGGCCATGTAGGTAATCAATAATTCTTAGGATAGTATAGGAACCTAGCCTACCATGACTACTGCTCAGAATGCGTTCGTTCGTTTCAGCAAATTAATGACGTCCACTGCTGGACAAAGGCCTCTCCCAAGGTTTTCCATAATGAATGCGTACTTACCTACATACGTACCTCATTACAAATAAGTATATTAATTATTTTTTTACTAGACACTACTAGACAGCAACCCTAACAGCGTAAGAAGAGTTCAGAGGCACGCGATAGAAAGAGACAAAACTTGTAGGTGAATAAAATTGTAGGTACGTAGTGCTGTGCGAGCTGAATTCCACTGTATCGCGTCGTAGCAAGACTCGCATTTATTTAAATCGTCTTGCGGAGTAATCCTTCTGTACCTGTACTATTACTTATTCTGTGCCGGTACCCCTTTTAGCTACTCACTACTTTCTCGTGTTTGTTCTTGACACACTTCGTTTTAATAGAACCACAATAATGATTCGTTCCGAGTACGAATCACAAAAAATAAGGATGCTATCTAGCTCGGAGTGCATAGGGACGAAATTGCAAAAATAAATCTATTATTTAAAAACCAACTGAATGAAATAAGTTTTTTGAAATTTGAACGAACTGTATTAAATCAGCTTAAATGAATCATTAAAGTTTCTACAGGGGATTTAATGGCGGTAATAAAAGGAATTGCCGTTGAACAAAGTTAAAGTGCAGCCCTTCGTGGAGCCAACAGCCGTGAGCGCTGCGAAGGGCGATTTGTCCGACTCTCGAAACTTATATTGAGCATCACAAACTTCTCTAGCGTTAATTGACGATTTAAAAGTTAGCCCAAACAAGAACTCTCAGAAACAATAACAAGCGCAGGAGAGGAGGGTACAATCGATAAGTATTTGCAGACGGCCCGACGAAAACTATTGGCTTTTGTTACGAATAATACCTAACTTTGCCCTTCACAAGGTTGAAAAACATTAAAATGGCGAAGGTTCTACTGTAATTACATGGTATTTGGTTACCTTCAGCTCGTCCTATGAAATACAAATAAGAACGAATGAAATAGATTGTAAGAATATGACCGACATACATAATAAAGACAAAAATATCAGTACCTTGCTCGCATCGAGGGGGTTGTCGCTGACTTCCACCACCGCACCGGGGTGGTTCGGCCTCGTTCTGGAACAACAAGTACTCACATTAATAAAAACTAATATTACAAAATTAAATGCGAAAGATTTGGCATGGCTGACGTTTATGAATTTAGATATCGATGTCACCTAGGGTAGTACAATTAATTGTTAGAATAACGAACTAATTTTGTTCCATTATTGTATAAAAGATAATAAAATGATAAGTTTTATTGTTTTAAACTTTCGTGGTCACAAAATTCAATTATTTATTAATTATAACTGGATTTCTAATATGAAACTACCTTTTGTAGACGAGACCGACATTTCGGCGCAGTGCACTAACTATGGTCACGGGTAAACAGAATCAAATGCGGGTGGTAGTTATTGCAAGACAAATCTGTCTACCGTCTTTTGTGCCTTTTATCACTCGGCGTTGGTACCATTATTCACTCACTCACTTTTTATTCGAACTTGTTCTCGACACCCCTCACTATAGTAACTTAAATGATAAGTTTTATTTGTGACTACTTAAGATAAAATAGCACACATAACTTTACACAAGTTCAAAATTAAATTTAAAAAAAATCATTCAATTTAACTAAAAAAAAATAACTTTCATTTAAAATTAATAAAGAAGACATTTTAAATTGTTTCTCTGTCTTTAGTACTAATTTTAAAGGAGGCAGGGGTAAATTGGCTTAAAACTTGTAAGTAACCATGTGAAAAGTATGAAAGCGGCTAGTAAGAAAATAAATAAAAACCTTTTTGTAGCCAATTGACGTAGGTGTACCTGATATTTTATGAAAATGTCAGCAAAAATGTGTGTCAAACAATTTCCCCGAAACCTTTTCCAACAAACAGAGCCCATGTCTAACAATCGTAGTTTTTGAGTCGGGCACCTAAAGGGACGGACGGTGACAGATTATGGCGTGTTGCGTCAAGGCGGCCTAGTTTTTGTCGGAGCAGCTTTGTCAATACGGGCCGGAGTAGGGCTGCTCAAGAATGCCTCCTGAATTTTGTATGTTGTTGTCTTACAGTTGTCGTATTCTGGTTTCGTTGTCTTTGTAAGCCTACTTATAAAGTTGGTTATCTATAAATGAATCCTAATCCAAATCTGTCCGTCAACTGTCAAATTTCAATATGGTTTTGGTCAAAAAATCTATGGATTTGGTCAAAAAATCTATGGTTTTCGATGTTTTTACATTTCCCTATTGTTTAAAAGACTTGAATCCATATTAAAGTGTAAATGCATCGAAAATTTTAGATACTTGATCGAAAACTGATTGAAATTTGACAGCTGAAGGACGGATTTGGATTAAGGTTGATTATAGAACAAAAATACCTGTTTGTATTATTATTATAAAGAGCTGTGGTTTTCTGAATAAAGAAAAATAAAATAAAATAAAAATAAAAAATAAAATAGAAAACCGTCCTAAGTGATACAACTAATATCTGTCTAGGTTTGTATAAATCTTCACTGCATGCCGAGTCCCGAAAAGTTTGATTATGAAATAAATCTGTAAGCCCTGACAGCGTAAACAGAGAGCTGCCGCGCGCCGCCTCGGCGCCACTTGTTGCGGCGCCTCCCTCCCCGGCAGCTACCCACCACCGCGGTGACACGTCACTCATGTTTCCCTCCCAGGACTCTGGCTAAAGCTCGATTCGGGAATCTTTACGAGACAATAAATTACGATAATTGGCATCGTTATTAATCGTAGTTAAGTTTCGACACTTCTGTTCTCACTTCTTCTGACAAAGTGCACATAATAATCGCAAACCAGTCGAAAAACGGATTCGATTTTCGATTACATCAAAAAGTGCAACTTGTCTAGGGGGCTGATGCATTTAATTTTACCACAGAATAATACAAAATAACTAAATAATACTGGGCTTTTATGAGTACATTTAAAATGCCCTAAATCTGTGCACGATAAAAATAATATCACTGCGGGTTTACATAATAACGCGGGCTTATAATGGATAATACGAAACGTTATTACTGTCGACACGGGACGATATTACTGGGATGGGGAGAAGGGGGTGTAGTCATCTTCTAAATAGCGTTAATATAAGCATCTAACCTGTATCCGTTATAAGTTAAGCCTATTATCTTACTAAGTATCAATAAAATATTTTTCATTTTTTATTATTTTTGCTACAAACGTAATGGCGAGTTAGCATGAGCGAGTTATTTTTTATGATTTGATATTAGTATAAATAACACACTTTTTAATAAGCCATATAAAATGTGATGGCTGATTTGTCTTCGTAACTGCGAAATTAAAAGAAATAGCATTAATATTAATTTATACTCAAAATGTCTGACTTTATTCATCACCAGACATTTATCTCGGGCCGTTATTAAAATTCTGCAGGCCAAAGCATAATAGCGGGCGACAAGGATAAATTCGAGGATGTGACAAAAGTACGTACTTATACCTTGTACAGTACTAATGTGGTGTCTTTGTGGCGGGTGGACGAGCAAAAACGAGTAGTGGCCACTTGGCAGATTGAATAACAGTGGCCACTTCGCCCCACTTCACTCGCAGAGACGAGTGTCGCGGATATTGTGTCACACTGTTGAGGTTGATACGAAATATTGTAATTTTTAATTTTTAGTTAAGTTTTTTTTTTAATTTTGGGACATTGAACCGTCACACCATGGCACAGAGGCACCCGCTGAAAACCAGTGTCGAGACACGCGTACACGCGCGTTTTGATGAATACTGAGCGGGGGCTTTTTTGGCACGAGACTTATGTATTGTCTAATGTAATGTTGTGTGTTTAATGTGTTTTTTTTTTGTGTTTTCTCTTCTTTTATTTGTTCATTTTCATTTGTGTTTTCGTGTCAAATAAAGGTTTTTCTATTCTATTCTATTCTAAATAACGAAACTATGTATTTGAACAAATCTGTTTTAAAAAGTACTCGTATTTATGAAATAATTTCCACACGATGATAGGTACGTGTAGAAATTATTTTACTGATCAAAAAGAAATTAACAATAGAGCGGTGACCCCTAACATTTTTCTCAGTTTCTTAAAGCTTTCTCCTCTGGGAGTGTGAGGACGGAGGCGCAGCCGGCGGATATTGGATTACCCGGCTTTGTCGGCAGATGCGTTCGAGGCCGAGACATCGGCTGTTCATTTTAGATCCACATTTTGTTGATCTATCAAGAATTTATATTAATGAAGCTAAGTGGTTTAAAAACATTTTTAAATTAATACTGCTACGATTTAGCTCTTACTATCCATAGTAACATGTGTTTGTATCTGAATTAATTAAAGTGAAATGATGTAAGTTAACTAAATGTAGCTGTTTTTCAAAACCACATAAGGTTACTTTGAATGACAAGTAGGTGTACCTACTAATAATACTAGAGAATAAAGCCGAAGAGTAAAGCGAAGCAAACAATCCGTAACAGCAGCCTTTAAGCGAAGGCACGTCGCCTTGAAACGAGATGAAAGCAAACAACAGCGACAACTGTTGAGTCTGGCAGCGGCTGACAATGCGCTTCCTCCCTCGACGTGGCGGCGCCACTATCGCCTGTCAGCCCGCCTCGTCCGTTTTGCAATCGGCACTTCATAGGAATAACAATGACTAATAAAATCTGCTTCTTAAACCTAATTCCAAAACTTTATTTTCGGAATTCAAGCGACTTAAAATTACTCCAACTTTTACCATTCAACATTCACTCGTTACGCATTTTTGAGCTGAAAAGACATTATGAGAACCTTTTATTATTCTACAAGCCGCCTCGACCTCGCCGTTCCTTTTTAATTTATCACACTTTTTGAGATTCCGAACAAACGAACTAAGGATTTTTCCACGATCCTTCCTCAGGCGCATTTTTATTGAAATTTGAGCCACCTTTGTTCGGGGCCTGACGCGGATGTCATTAGTATGCGGTAGTAATTTAAAATAATTTATTTAACAATAGGACTGCGACAACCCTAGGCCTTTTAATTGTAAGTACACCGCCATTGGCGGATGTTCATTACGAAGCGCCAATGAACGCGCGATATTTGAATTGAGAACCCGACGCGAGTCAACAGGGCTGGCACACGCCTAAGGGTGTGTTATAACGATCTTTATTGTCTGTGAATTTAGCGTTTACAATAATAGCGCAGAACAATAATAGAAGCAAGCCCCCGGCAGTACAACTTCGCCAATTAAGATCATTGTTGACAGAGCAAAGAGAGCATTAGCTTAGTTTACCTAGCGGAGTAGTTAAATATATTCCGAGTCCAACGGTATTTTGAAGCAGCAAAGAAAGTTCTAGAATCCCAAAGGTCACACACATGACTTTGATATTTCAAAGCGGCTTTAATTAAGGGAATAATAAATGAACAAACGTATCATATATTCATAAAAGATCCTGTGTCTCGGAATAAATAAGTTATTATTTTCGGTGTACCCAATTTGGGAGCTGCTTAGTAGATAATGCGTGGGAACCATCATAATAATACGGTATTATTTTGAGCAGAGGGTAATGAGGTACGTAGATACGGGTTTAATACCTACGTTTAATACCTAGTTTGTGGAATTTCATCGGTTCGACCTTCGACGAGTTCGCGAGAATTTAATAACGATTGTATCGACAGCCGCTCGCCTGAAATAGTCGATAAACGAAGGTTCATTACAACTCCGCGACTGACGAGTTGGACAAAACAATCGCCCCGAGTAAATTATTCCATTCGTGGAATTCTCCTGAGATGAAATAGATATTCTGAATGCTCACTTTGTAAATGAAATTTTGACGTATACATACATAATGTAGGTAAAGTTTATACATTGGTTGAAATTTTCAGTTAGAAATTAAATATTCAATGCTTGCTTGATCTTCATTTTTCTTAGTCTCTACCTAGCTTCATCAATCTAAACACTTGGCGGGCAGAGATCGTCTTGCGTGATAATAATAAAAGTTCTACTGGGTCTGGAATAATGTCCACCACATGTTAAGTCATGTGTTTTTCAAGAAAATCCATTCACCCTCTTAAATAAACCAAAATTTTAGGCGCTCTTAATAAAAATGTATGTATTTTGTT